AAACTTATTCTGAAGTTAATATTGTAATTAACATTTTTAGATTTAAATTTAATAAAATTAATTATGTTTGGTTATAGAGTTATATAATAAAGAGTGTTTGCCTACTAGGATAGTAGGAATAATTATTATAAGATTTTAGTTATTTAAAAAAGGTGAGATTAATTAACAATTTCGGAGTTAAACTTATTCTCAAGTTAATATTGTAATTAACATTTTCGGATTTAAATTTAGTGAGATTAATCATGTTTGGTTATAGAGATTATATCATAAAGAGTGTTTGGCTAGTATGAGTAATTATTATAGGATTTTAATTATTTGAAAAAAAATTGAGAAAATTGAGGTAAAAAGTGGCTTCCAATGCTTCTCTTTTAATATATAGAGGATTAATCATGTTTGGCTAAGCAAAAGTGGTTTCCAGTGCTTCTCCTTTAATATATAAAAGATTAATCATTTTTTTAGTTTGAGAGATTATATCATAAATAGTGTTTGGCTAGTTGGAAAGTAGGAGTAATTATTATAGGATTTTAATTAATTAAAAAAAGCTAAGAAAAAATGAGGTAGTGACACCTAAGTAAAAGTGGCTTCCAATGTTTCTCCTTTAATATATAGAGGATTTCGATTGGTATAGTTAAATGGGGCAATGGCAAAAATACCACTTTTGGTGTGTACATTTGCAAAAATGCCACTTAAGGGTGTCCATTTGCAAAAATGTCACTAATTATGAATTTTTAAAGCATAAATCTTAATATTAAAAAGCCTAAAAAATGTTTTGACCCCTAAAACCCCTTAAACGCTCAAAACTAAATCCTAATACAACATAGTTAACCCAAACATAAATGATATAATGAAACTTTTTTTTTGAAAAAATGGTATTTTTGCAAAGATTTTGAAAATGTGGCATTTTTGAAAAGTGACACTTGAAAACGGTATTTTTTGAAAAATTTTTAGTTAAATAATGTGTCCCTTAAATTGCTCTTTGATTGACACTTATTATTTTTTTCTCTAGTGTCTCCTCAATTAATATATAGAAGATATAATATAGGGTAATTGACAAATATAACCAAAAAAAAAAATAAAACATAGACTATTAATCATAGGCTATTAATTTTAGAGTTTTGGTTAGTTATTATGTTTTGATTTTTTTTTTGGTTATTAACCAAATTAACCCAATATAGTATATATCCTCCGTTTTTTAGTCAGTTAGCGTACTAGCATTATGATTAGGCTATAAAATATTTATAACCATAAAAACATTATCGGAACATGGGTGATGCTACATCGATTTATATATGTATATTTATG